TAAATTAATAATAAAATAATAAATTAATAAATTAAAGAATATAAATTAATTCCATTAATTAAAAATAAATTTAAAAAAAATTTAAATAAATATATAAGTTTTAATAATATATATAAATCAGAATTTTTACATTTTCTTAAATAAGAAGAATATAGCAAAACTGGATAATTCAAATTTTTTTACTTTTAACTATATTTCTAAGTTTTAAGATTGAAATTTGAATGTACAATATTTTCTCAGTAATCTGTAACTCTCAGTAATCATATAATTTATTACTAAATAAATTTAATTTAAGAATATTTATTTTTCTTAATTTCTATTTTTTTTTTTTACTTACATGTCTCATAGCGACTTCACCAATTTTTGGTGAATATTTTCTAATATTTTCTAAAAAGTCTCTTAAATCAGACATGGAAGCATCCTTTATATTTTCACGTAGTCTAAAATTATTGTAATCTGTCAATCACTTAATGTCACTTAATATGTCTGTGTAAATTATTCTTTAGTTACATTCTGCTGTAAAAATAAATAGTTTTTTATCTTATGACATTACTCACTGCGGAATTTGTTGAGTAATTTGTGAAGAAAATCTGTAATTTGTTACTTTTGGTAAATCATGATGTTCTAGTTGTTCCAATGTCTTTAAAGCTGGATAAAATCGTTTATCTTTTAATTGTTTTTGTAACTTTGCATAAGCAGCTAAAACAGGAAGACACATCGTGAGACTATCTACTGCTGCAGCCATATTACTTTCTACTTTACGTGCTTTAACAAGCTCTTCTCCTTTTTCTATTACTTTGGTGGCAGTGGCAGTGATACGTTTATCAAGTTCCAATATTTCAGCCTATAAAAAAATATTTTGTTATCATACATTTTTATTTTATGTATAAAATTAATTTTAAGTTATAAACTAACATTAAGCTGTTGTGCTTGAGAACGAACTTGTAATAGTTCTCTAATTGAATCAATGAAACCTTGATAATGATGATTGCACATTCTCTCAATATCTTTATCATGTGCTTTAATGCGCTCATCAAGCTTTTCCATAAATTTTTGATGTTCATGACCATCATAAATTGCTCTAAAAAGGAAATATAATAATAAATATATAATAATAATAATAAGAATAATAATAATTGATTTTCATTTTTTTTTGAAATTTTTTTTCCAATAAATGTCTAATAATAATAATAATACCTGAAAACAAGGCCTATACTATTAGTATCTGTAGATTCTATTTCATATAAAAGATATTCGTGTTTTGGAACCATAGTTGACAATAGATTGTCAACTTGATTAGTTGACAATCTTGACATAATAGAGTCCTAATTAAATTTTTCTTTATTCTTCTACGGGGGTGCTCACCCCCTTTTCAACCCTTCTAGTGCGCATATGCATGATAAATGTCGCATCTGCGTGAAGGGATAATATTCCAAAAGCGCGTCTTTTAACAAAATTTTCAATAAAAAAAAACTATTTAATTAAACTTACCGAAAAGTTGGACCCAAATAATCATCTATCGCTTCTATCTCTTGAATAAGAATATCGTATCGTTGCATTTTTATTAAACTCAACTTGACGATTCAAATGAAATGTCAAATTTTTAGCAAATAAATTTATATATCTTTATATTAATAATATCAGGTAACTTCCATTTGTTGGATAACAATAAATTATATCAATAAACAAAATAAAATTCTTTGATTTAATTATGACATTTTCGTTATGAAAGTTATGGTTATCCCAATAACATTGTCAATATCGTTTAAACTGCCATCTTCATATAACTATAGTATTACTCTATCTTTTATATATCATGCATACGCATTATTATATGATGTAATTAACAAATTTAACGATATACAATATTTTGAATTAAAATGTAATATTTTTTATATCAATCATTTATTATAAATTTATTATATTTAATTCTATAATTTCAGTTATATTTATATTATTAAATTATTATGAAAATTGATTTTTTGAAGCAATTTTTGGTTACTTAACCAATAATTTATTAAATCAATAGTCAATTGTTTAGAATGTTTAAAATGTTTAAAAATATTTTTATTGTTACAAAATATAATTATTTTACAAATAAATTTAAAATATGAAGTTGTTAAAAATTTTAATTAATTATTGTTTTGTAATATATTTATATTGTTTTCGATATAATTAGCAACATTAAAAAGTATGAGTACGGTTTACTCAGATAAATTGTTCTATACAAATAAAATATAATGAAAGATTTTATCCATTTGAATGTTTAAATAATTTATTTAGAAACAATTATTGCATATTTTATCAAGAGAAAAGTTTCAAATGAGAGAAATCTTCTATTCATATTGTATATTCTCCTAAAATAAATTAATTTATCCGAGCAGACTGTACGTGCATTTGGCGTCTGGGTTGGAGACGCCAAGACATCGGATGCAGTTTCTGTGCACTGTGAACCCCGGTTGATTCTTCTCTATTGATTGTATGTAACAGCGTACTGGATATTCTTTTTCTACTCAATTTTTCGAGAAATTTAGTTAAGAATTGAAAGTTATAAGGAAAGTACAAGTAAGTACATTGATGTGAAGTTAATAACTATCTGTGAAATCATTGGCGCGCAAGCCTTTGATATGTTACTATTCAAGATTTGTTTTATAGCTAATAAAGAATCCATTGTGAAAATTTATTATCTTAATATATCGAATTATATCATTTCATTAATAATTTTAATAATGAAATAAAATTAAAATATATAGTCGTATACTATTTGTACTCCTTTTGTATTATATATATTAACAAATTTCTCTAAGTGTAAAAACAGTTTTGTGTACCTCTGAATTTTTAGGTAAAAATGACACCAGAAGGATATACGCGTGTTTATGTCGGTGGATTAAATGAAAGTATAAAAAAAGAAGATCTTCAAACAGAATTTGAAAAGTATGGCAAGCTAAACAAAGTTTGGGTAGCATTTAACCCGCCAGGTTTTGCATTTATTGAATTTTTAAATATGAATGAAGCAGAACTTGCTTGCAGCAGTATGAATGGTACAGAAATTATGGGTGCAAAATTAAGGGTTGAGATTTCACGGGGTAGAGGTCGTGGTGGAGGCAGGGGTGGTATGGGAGGATTCAGAGGAAATCGAGGAGGTGCAGCTAGAGGTTATGGTTCTGCTGCCTCTATTGCATTCAATTATAGAGCAAATAATATGTATGCAGATTATGGAGGTTATTATGCAGGCAAGGGTGGTGGAAATAGAAGTAGAGACTATTATGGAGAAGATTATATGACTAATCGTGCCAGTGGGTATGTTACTCGAGATGGATATACACAGGATGTCTATAATAGTGGAGATCCAAATGCTGATTATTATACCAACAAAGGCACTGGCACATCAAGGTATCGAAGTCGTTCCCCAGCTGGTCGTGGCAGGTATTAATAATACCCAGTCCTTGTAAAGTTATATTGTACTTACATGAATTCAATTATGAATGAAATTAATTTCTTAAATGAATTGTTCAAAGATGTAACAACTGATTTATCTACAAGTAACAATTGATTTATCTATATTTTCAATGAAAACAAATTTAATCATATTTAAACAAACATAAAAAATTTAGGTTTATTATATAAATATATTGTTAGGTAGATGAATATTCAGTATCTAAATATTAGATTTATGTTCAAATTTAAATCATTGACTTTTAGCACAAAAAATATTTATATATATTAAAAAAAGAAGCATGATAATATTACCAATTGGCACTTTTATTGCATGTGTAGGTATATTGTGCAATATATACTACAAAAATATACTTTCAATTAATGAAAGATGTTCGCCAAATAAAGGCGAAAATTATGTGACATTCTATTTTGCACTTCCATGTTCACAGTCATCGTCATCTTCGTGAATGCACATAAAAGATCTACACTGCATTGCCAATCTGAACTGTGGGCCAATCAACAGCCCATCCTGATGACTACATTTCTATCCAATCTACGCAGCGACCTGTATATAGACAAGAACTACCATTGCAGATCAAGTTGTGCAATATCATTTGTATAGTATACTTTAGTTCTACAGTTTGTAATCATTTTCAGAAACATTACCCATTATTCACAAACAAAATCATTGCAAACTTTATATAACATGAAAATGAATCATGAACGAAATTTGAATCAAGCTATATGAATAGTAGACTAAAGTATTTATATATACAATTTCTATTTTATTTAAATCTGGGGTATTACATATATTTTATAGTTTCAAATAATTTTTTTACA